ACGAAGACCTGGACCTGCATAGACAATTTTCTGTCACAGTCTGTAGCATCCATTACGAACTTCAAATACGAAATCTCAAACAATTTCGGTGAGTATTGTACCTAAAATCTTCAAAATACCGAATATAGGGAGGTACTGATATATGGGGCTTATACGAAGACCTGGACCTGCATATACAATTTTCTGTCACATACTGATGCTACGAATCATCAAAATACCGAATATTGGGAGGTACCATTATATGGGGGCTATATGAAGACGTGGACGTGCACAGACAATTTTCTGTCACAGGCTGTAGTATCCATTACGAACTTCAAAATCCAATCCAATCCGGTGAATAATGTCGTTAAAATCATCAAAATAGTGAATATAGGGAGGTACCGTTATATAAGGCTTCGTATAGGCCCAATATACCGGGCACGTGGACCTGTATAATCAATTTTCTGTCACAGACTGTAGTTCCCATTACGAACTCTAAATACGTAGTTTGAAACTATTCCGGTAAATAATGACGCTAAAATCATCAAAATACCGAATATTATGAGGTACCGTTATATGGGGGCTATATGAAGACGTGGACTTGCACTGACAATTTTCTGTCACAAGCTGTACTATCTATTACGAACTTTAAATACCAAATTTGAAGCAATTCCCGTGAATAATGTCGTCAAAATCATCAAAATACCGAATATAGGGAGGTACCGTTATATGGGTGCTATACGAAGACGTGGACCTGCACAGAATAAATTTGAAACAATTCCGATGAATAATGTCGCTAAAATCATCAAAATACCGAATATCCCTAGGGGGCCTACATGGCCCATTTACGAACTCAACCTGCCTATTGGCAAAATAAACATGTGTGCAAAATTGTAGCCTTCTATCTCAATTCGTTCGAAAGATAGCGTGATTCCAACAGACAGACGGACAGACAGACAGACTTTGTTGGGTCTGATATGAGTATTTCGAGGAATTACAAACGGAGTGACAAATTTAATATACCCTCCATAGTATGGTGGAGGGTATAAAAACAATAGGCTTCTATTTTGACCTTAACCCCAAGTTAATGCCAAATTTCGTGTGAATCTGGCCATAATTGCCAACTGTAGCCTTATTTCAAATTAACATGGACAGACGGACAGACACACATATTTCAATATTTCGAGTTGTTGCAAACTCTTTGGCCCACTCAAATTCATAATAACCCCCAAACATAGTGTTTTAGAGTGATTATGATAAGTTGGTAACAGCACTCAAGGGAGCGGACAAGCAACAACCCAATCAAAAAAGTGAATTTTATTATTTTACTCGTAGAACAAGGGATTGTGGTCAGTAAAGAAAGAACATTTCCGAATGATGGCCATAATACGAAACACAAAAATTCTTGTTATTACTGTTGGTAAGAAATATTCGAAAGAACCTTGAAAATAGGCTACACTTTATGGAAGCAATTTAAAAACAGAGCTAATTTTATCCTTTTTTGCAAGCATTTCTGGATTTGTTTAATAGACTATCGTCCAAAGGAGGTATGAGAAGTCTAATATTGCACCACTCATTTGCACTATCCTTTCCCCATTTCCTACAAATGCACTGCCAACCGCACAACTGTGTCTCCTTTTCTTTTCCGTCTAAACTAGTTTTAACACTCATTGTTTTGGCAGTGAACTCCAAAATGTTTAGGATAGAAATTTCAAGATAATTTTAGCAGAAAATTTGTATCCAGAGTCTAATTATTTTTCTTTACTTGGATTTTAAATCAAAAAAGTCATTTCTTATATTTTCCGGTAAAAAAAAATGCTGCGAAAATAAAAAAACGAATACAGGGAGGTGCCGTTATGTGGGGGCTATACGAAAACCTCAAACTGCATGTGCCATTTTCGGTCATAGGCTGTAGTAGCCATTAGAAACTTCGAATACGAAATTTGAAACAATTCCGATGAATAATGTCGCTTAAATCATCAAAATTCCGAATAAAGGGAGGTACTGAGATGGGCAGGCAATACGAAGACATGGACCATGGTGCAATATTAGCAGTTTTCTGTCATAGGATGTAGGATTTTCAAAAGGACCAAAAGTCCTGCAGACCTAATACACACTCGAGCTAAATTTTATCAACCTACATCATTTCGTTCGGAAGCTAGAGTGATTCGCACAGACAGACGGACGTCTTCAATTTAACATAGAATTTTGAATTTTTTTCTGAAGAAGAATATACAGGGTGAGATAAAAACCTGCAACAAAGTCAAACGCCATAATTTTTACATTTTTTTAATTTTATTGAATGAAAGCCAAGAATGTCGGAAAAAGCATCAAATTTTAGAACAAGTATAGATATGTTCGAATTTGTCACCTTTGGCACGAATTATGACCTTCAAACGGCCAATGAAACCGTTACACGCTGCCCGAATGTTGCTCTGCGGTATTTTGGTTCGTTTCCGGCGAAAAGCTTTCTTGAGGATATCGACACTTTGTTAATTTTTAGTGCCAACCTTGCTTTCCAAAATACTCCAGACACAATGGTCCAACGGATTGGTATCCGGAGACTTTGGTAGCCATTGTGCGCTGGAAATGAGACGAGGAACCTCATTTTGTAACCATTCTTGGGTGTGGCGTGCTGAGTGCGATAGTACTGTGTCCTGTTGGAATGTCCAAGGTCTGCGGCCAAAACGTTTGCATGACCAAGGCTTTTTAATACACCCTCCAGAATATTTTCGCGATAATATTCGGCATTTATTCTGATGCCACGGTCGATTAATACGAGCGGAGAGCGACCATCGGCTGTTATGGTGGCCCACACCATAACCATGGCCAGCGCTTGAGTTCTGGTGGCCAACTGAAGGTGCACATTTTCAGGTGACCTCTTTGGCAATTAAACACGATCATTTAGTTTGTTTCCAAACTGCTGGACAACGAATGTTTCTCATCGGAGAAAACCACATTCGGCAGTTCACGACTTTCGGCCAAGCGAAGCAACTCTTTAGCTCTTTTGAGTCTATTTTCTTTCTGTTGCGGTGTAAATTCTTGCACTTTTTGAAATATCACTGGCTTTACCTCGAGCTCATTTTTCAATATTTGCCGAATGAAATATTGCGATATGTTCAGCTCACGAGCCATTTTTCGGCCACTGCGACGCGGGTTTTGATCAAGTCGCTTCTTTACTTTTCGAACCACTTCTGCTGATGTTGCTGTTTTCTTCCGTCCACTTCCTTGACGTCGGGCTACGCTACCAGTATCACGGTAACGAGCGATGGTTCGAGACACAAAAGATTTATTCTCATCTAAATGCTGGAATGCTCTAACGATAGCCACCATCGAGCCAAATATAAAGAAATCACATTATCACGCTTGAATTCCATCACGAATAACTTTTTTTCAGGAAAATTCTCACCAAAATGCTTTTGTACGCTTGTAAACAATACAATGAGCTGTCACAGGAATAATTTTAACAGCTGTCGGACGAGTAGCTTAGAAATGACAGCAGTCTAAAGTTGTTTGTATTTTTTTTTCATCTTACCCTGTATATATATATACATACTCTGTTGGGTCTAAAATTTATATTTCGAAGCCATCGGAATAACAAACTTATTATAGCTTACATAATGGACGGTATAAAAAGTACCTCCTTCTAACACAACTGTCTCCAAATGTTCGAATAAGATTCGTCGAATTCGATTGAATATGAACAAATCTATTCAATTTGGGCTGATACTTTATATATGGTGGAGAATAACCTTAAAATCGTATGAAGTAAATATCAAAGATATATAAAAATCTGAACCAATCTCGAAAAAAATTGAAAGAGGTCATTTCAAGTTGTATCTGATATCCGGTACCAAATATCATTGTTGTGGAGTGCATATTACGAATGTTAGGGATTTGAACACCAAATCGGATGAAACATATATATGCGAGCTATAGCTATATCTGAACCGATTTTCATCAAATTTGAAGTACTTGTTTCTAGGATGAATTCAGTGGGAATTGCCAAAATTCAGTCGATTTGGGTTGATATTAGCCATTTGGTTAATCAGTCAACAATAAACCCGATATCGGATAAATATATATATGAGAGCTATATCTAAATCTGAACCGATCCTCATAAAATTTTAAACACTTATTCTTGAGCCGTATTTGATATCTGGAAACAAAGATTATTGTTATGGAATGCATATTACGTATGTGAGGAACTTTAACACCAAATCGGATGAAACATATATATGGGAGCTAAAGTTACACCTAAACCGATTTTCAACAAATTTGAAGTACTTGGCTCCAGGCTGAATTCGGTCGGATGTGCCAAAAATGCAGGACATTTGGTGCACTGTTAACCCGAAATCGGTTGAAGATAAATATGGGAGCTATATACTAATCTGATCAGATGTTGATAAAATTTGTCAGAAATATTTCCATGAGTTATCTGATACAAAATATCATTTTTGTGGAGGGCATATTACGCGTGTGAGGGATCGGTTGAAGATATATCTGAACGGATTTTCTTACTTGCTTCTAGGTAGAATTCGGTTGGATGCGAAAAATACAAGTCATTTGGACTGTTATTAGTCATTTGGTGCACAATTTACCCGAAATCGGTTGAAAATATATATGGGAGCTATATCTAAATTTCAACCGATTCTCAACAATTTTAAAAGGGTTCGTCCTTGAGCCCAACAAATATTGTTTGCAAATTTTCATTTCAATGGGATAATAAATGTGACCTGGATTTTGTTTACAAAAATACTTGGACATACGAACGGACTGACATGCATAAATCGACTCAGAAAGTGATTCTATAAAGATCCTCAAAAGGAACTATGGGTCTATCTCGTTTCCACTATGTGGTGTAGGGTAAAAACACAAAATTTAAAAAACGGAACAAACCACTCCCAGACTTTGATGTCCTGCATAATTTGATTATTTAAACATATGTTTGAAATTTTTGTTACCAAAAGAAAACACAAACTCTGCTCATTACTTTTCATTATATTCCTTTTTCATTTCAGATAACTCTTTCAATCACGAGCTAACATGCATTGGAAAATATAGATTACCATTTTCAAATCACAAAACCGAACCGGCATTTATGGTCCCGCTTACATGCGACAATTGTGACGAGATTCCCGACAATATTGTTCTCAGTAATACTGGAGAACTAATAATGATTAAATTGATCTATGAGAATGTTAAAAAACTCCCAAAAATAGGTCGTGGACCCATGTTTAACAAGGGCGATTATCGTTTTCATTACATGTATTTCAACTTTTTACCTGAAATTCCAGAGGAATGGTCATTGAATAATATCAGCTTTCCGGCAGAACTACATTTGGTGTTCTATAACGAAAGGAGGGAGAACTACGAAAACGCCTTGGAAAGGGATGAAGGAATTGTCATAGTGTCGATGGGATTTCAGGTAAGATTGGGAGATGTTTTTTTATTATTCATTTTTATACCCTCCACAATACATCGTATGGAGAGTATATTAAATTTGGCATCCCGTTTTCCTATATGCCCCATATGACGGTACTTACTAAAATTCAGTATTTTGATGTCTTTAGCTACACATTCTTAGGGAATTACAGGGTGGGATGAAAATCTGCAACCAACTTCAGACTGCTGTCATTTCTAAGCTACTCGTCCACCAGCTTGTAAAATTATTCCAATGACAGCTAATTATATTGTTTTCAAGCGTACAAAAGCATTTTGGTGAGAATTTTCCAGAAAAAAAAGTTATTCGTAATGGAATTCAAGCGTGATAGTGTGATTTATTTATATTTGGCTATCGTTAGAGCACTCCAGCATTTAAATGTGAATAAATCTTTTGTGTCTCGTACCGTTGCTCGTTACCTTGATACTGGTAGTGTAGTCCGACGTCAAGGAAGTGGACGGAAGAAAACAGCAACATCAGCTGAAATGGTTGAAATTCATCGAAAACCGCTTCGCAGTGGTCTGAGCTGAACTTATCGCAATATTCCATTCGCCAAACATTGAAAAATGAGCTCGGGGTATAGAAATTTAAATTCTAACAAGTAAAAAAGCAGTAAGTTCGTCCGGGCCGAACTTTGAATACCCTCCACCATTTGGAACGAATTAAAAAATTTTCAAAAAAATAAAATCCATTAAAAATTATTTTAAAATCTTTAAAATATCTAATATAGGAAGGTGCCGATATATGGGGGGATATACGATATTGTGGATCAATAAAGACAAATCTATGTCTACGTGTAAAGTACTCACAAGGAACACCTTATGTGGATTTTCAGATAATTCCATTGGAAAAAGTGGCTAAAATCATCAAAATATTAAATATAGGGGAGAACCGTTATATGGGGGATATACGATATTGTGGACCTATATAGACAATTCCGTTTCGGGGGTAAAGTGCTCACAAAGAACTCCGTGTGTGGATTTTCAGACAATACGATTGGAAAATGTGAGTAAAATCATCAAAATACCGAATATCGGGGGGGGTACAGTTATATGGGGGATATACGATATTGTAGACCTATATAGATAGTTCTCTGCTGAGGTATAAAGTACCCACAACGAACTCCTTGTGTGGATTTACAGACAATTCCGTTGAAGAATGTGGGTAAAATCATCAAAATACCGAATATCGGGGGGACCGTTATATGGGGGATGTACGATATCGTGGACCTTTATAGACAATTCTCCCTCAGGGGGTAAAGTACTCGCAAGGAACTACTTATGTGGATTTTAAGACAATTCCATTGCAAAATGTGGCTAACATCATCAAAATACCGAATATCGGGGGGTACAGTTATATGGGGGATATACGATATCGTGGACCTATATAAACAATTCTTTTTTAAGGGGGTAAAATGCGCACAAGTGACTCCTTTTGTGGAATTTCAGACAATTCCATTGAAAAATTTGGCTAAAATCATCAAAATACCTAATACCGTGGGGTACCGTTATATGGGGGCTATACGATATTGTAGACCTATATAGATAATTCTCTGCCGAGGTATAAAGTACCCACAAGGAACTACTTGTGTGGATTTTCAGACAATTCCATTGAAAAATGTGGCTAACATCATCAAAATACCGAATATCGGGGGTACCGTTATATGGGGGCTATACGATATCGTGGACCTATATAGCCCATCTTCGAACTTGACCTGCCTGCAGACAAAGAGAGATCTGTGCAAAATTTTAGCTTCCTATCTTAATTCGTTTAGACTGTAGTGTGATTACAACAGACGGACAGACGGACGGACAGGGCTAAATCGTCTTAGAATTTTACGCTGATCAAGAATATATATACTTTGTTGGGTCTAAAATGATTATTTCGATAAGTTACAAACGGAATGACGAACTTAATATACCCTCCATACTTTTTTTGGTGGAGGGTATAAAAAGTGCAAGAACTTACACCGCAATAGAAAGAAAATAGACTCAAAAGAGCTAAAGAGTTGATTCGCTTGGCCGAAAGTGGTGAACTGCCGAATTTGGTTTTCTCCGATGAGAAAACATTCGTTGTCCAGCAGTTTGTAAAAAAACAAAATTATCGTGTTTACTTGCCAAAGAGGAGAGCTGAAAATGTGCACCTTCGGTTGGCCACCAGAACTCAGAACTCAAGCGCCGGCCATGGTGAGGTATGGGCCGCCATAACGGCCGATGGTCGCTCTCCGCTCGTATTAATCGACCGTGGCATCAGAATAAATGCCGAATATTATCGCGAAAATATTCTGGAGGGTGTATTAAAGCCTTGGGCACGCACACATTTTGGCCCAGACCTTGGACATTCCAACAGGACTCAGCATCATCGCACTCAGCACCGAAGATGGATACAAACTGAGGTTCTCGCTTCATTTCCAGCGCACAATCGCCACCAAAATCTCCGGATACCAATCCCTTGGTCTATTGTGTCTGGAGTATTTTGGGAAGCAAGGTTGGCACTAAAAAATACAAACGCGTCGATCACCTCAAGCAAGCGCTTCACCGGGAATGACCCAAAATACTGCAGAGCAACATTCGGGCAGCGAGTGACGGTTTCATTGGCAGTTTGAAGGCCATAATTCGTGGCAAAGGTGACCAATTCGAAAAAAAACTAAACTTTTTCTGAAATTTGATACTATTTCAGATTTTTTTTTACTTTCATTCAATAAAATTAAAAAAATTATGGCGTTTGACTTTGTAGCAGTTTTTTTTTTTTTATCTCACCCTTTACTATATAGATCAACGTTTTTCTGTAGCCCCCATCCTTACTTTTCTTTCCCATCCCAGGTACAGGAAGTAAATGCAAGTACATTTTTACCCCTCATCATCAATGAATTATCGAATATAAGATCTGTTGGAAAAAACACCACACTGCCGGTGGTTGCCGCAAAATTACCCTTTTCTAGTTTTTTGCCACACTCGTTGGAGCACTATCACACCTATGAGGGAACAATGCTCTCGCCAAGAGCACCATCACATACCACGTGTAAATCAAGGGTTATATGGATTGATTTTGATGAGACTCACAAAATACCGGCAGATTATGTAGGAACATCCTTTTGAAGCACATAGAAGGACAAACTTAATTTTTGCAAATCTTGCTATTTCAGATTCATGAATTCTTTATGTTGAAAACATTTGTGGGATTTTCACATTTAAGCTATGATCACGACTATGGAATGCCTCGAACTCAAATAAGATTTGATAAAAGAAATATGGATCCAGAGGTGAGGGAAAACACCAAGCAACTTCTAGAAAATGGCCAGGATAAAATGAAGCACTTTATGTCGCCATGGACCTTGTGGCGATTCGTTATGCTTGTCTTGATCTTGTAAATCAAAAATCTAAGAAAAATGAAAATAAACTGAAGTTTGGACACATATGCTTTCGTGGGTTAAAAAATATTCTTAAAATATCACAATAAACTATGTTGATTGAAAAAATATATTTAAACAAGTAAGCAAGAGCAGAGCCGGCCATGTGATACCATACACCACTGCAATATGTTGGAAGCCCCATCATGTCCAAATGCATTTTGTGAAGAATTCCTTAATGATGTCATAGAGCCCTACCTAGATATTACTTTTAGCTTTTTGATCGGGGACATTATTATTATACCCTCCACCTTGAAAAGGAGGGTATATTAACGTTGTCTTTCCGTTTGTAATATCCCTAAATAGTCGTCGTAGACCCCATAAAGTATATATTCATAATCAGCATTCTAAGTCGATTTAACGATGTCCGTCTGCCTGTCTTTCCGTCTGTCTGTTTGAATCACGATACAGCCCACATTAGTTGACGTAGAGGGTCAACATTTAGGAGGACAATTTGTATTGTGTCTAAGATGGTTGGTATTGAAAATACCAATTGGTCCACGTTTTGGTCTAGTCCCCATAAAACGGTACTTTGATGGCTTTTGCCACATATTTTCACGAATTAATCTAAAAATTGGTATTTGTTGATCATAATGGGTTCTAGCTCCTGTGACGAAACATTGCATGTATAGGCCCACGATTTGTTATAGCCTCCCAAAATTTGGTATTTTGATGGTTTTTGTCACATTTTTTCACGGATTTGTCTAAAAATTGGCATTTGTTGCTCATAATGGGTTCTGGCTGCGGTGGTGACACATTGTATGTATAGGTCCACGTTTTTGTATAGCCCCATATAGCGGTACCTCCCGTTATTCGCTATTTTGATAATTTTTTCCACATTTTCCCATGAATATGTCTAAAAATTGGTATTTGTGGGTCATAATGGGTTCTAATGTTTCCTTTACCCTAAGGTGGAGTTTGGCCCGGACGATAATTTCGACCCATATATAATACCCTAAAAACGTAGTGTTACTTTAGAAAATTAAAAATTGTAAGTCAACTTGAAAAAATCCCAGCGGTTCTTGACTTATAAGCAGAATAACTAAGATATACTTATTTTACATATATATTACACCTATTCCGCTATATATCCAATATCTTGGCTACCAGCATCACTGTAATGGTCACAAGTTATATTTTAATCTCAACAAACTTCAGACTGCTGTCATTTCTAAGCCACTCGTCCGACAGCTGTTAAAATTATTCCAGTGACAGCTCATTATATTGTCCTGACAAAAAATTTATTCGTGATGATATTCAAGCGTGATAGTGTGATTTCTTTATATTTGGCTGGAAAACCACAAGTGGCTATTTAATCGTGAATAAATCTTTTTTGTCCCATACCATCGCTCGTAACATCAGCAGAAATGGTTCGAAAAGTAAAGAAGCGACTAGATCGCAGTGGCCGAATAATGGGTTGTGAGCAGAACATATCGCAATAATCCATACGGCAAATATTAAAAAATTGGCTCGGGGTAAAGCCATTGAAATTCCAAAAAAGTGCAGGAACTTACACCGCAACAGAAAGAAAATATACTCAAAATAGCTAAGGAGTTGCTTCGCTTGTCGAAAGTGGTGAACTGCCGAATTTGGTTTTCTCCGATGACAAAACATTCGTTGTCCAGCAGTTTGTAACAAACAATACTTGCCAAATTTTTTCAGCTGATATCTGTGCACCTTCGGTTGGCCAGAACTCAAGCGCCGGTCATGGTGATGGTGTGGGCCGCCATAACAGCCGATGGTCGCTCTCCGCTCGTATTAATCGACCGTGGCATGAGAATAAATGTGGAATATTATCACGAAAATATTCTGGAGGACTCAAGACCATCGCACCCGCCACCCAAGAATGGGTTTAAAATGAGGTTCCTCGCTTCATTTCCAGCGTACAATGGCCACCAAAATCTCCGGATACCAATCGGTTGGACTATTGTGTCTGGAGTATTTTGGAAAGCAAGGTTGTCACAAAAAAATACCAAAATGCCGATCACATCAAGCAAGCGCTTCGCCGGGAATGGGCCAAAATACCGCAGAGCATCATTCGGCAGCGTGTGTGACGGTTGCATTGGCCGTTTGAAGGCCATAATTCGTGCCAAAGGTGGCCAATTCGAACAAATCTAAACTTATTCTAAAATTTGATGCTATTGCCGACATTTTTTGCTTTCATTCAATAAAATTTTAAAATTAATGTGTTTGACTTTCTTGCGATTTTTCTATCTCACCCTTTATGAAATATCAGCCTGAATTGGACATATTTTTTCAGATTCAACCGAATTTTTCCATTTTCCGGTATAACTAAATAAATATTGTGTAAATTTATTTAGTACTAGAGATACAAAAGCCTCCGTCAAATTTGTTGAAAATCGATTCAGAGTTAGATATAGTTCCCAAATTGTGACTACTTTATAGATCTACTGTATACGCGTAGTGGTGTAGGGTGTCATATGGTCGACTCCGCCCAAGTTTTGACCTTTCCTTACCGGTTTTATACCCTCCACCATACTATGGAGGGTATATTAACTTTGTCATTCCGTTTGTAACTCCTCGAAATACTCATGTCAGACCCAATAAAGTTGATCAGCGTAAAATTCTAAATCTATTTAGTGATGTCCGTCTGTCTGTCTGTCTGTTGTAATCACGCTATCTTTCGAACGAATTGAGATAGAAGGCTAGAATTTTACACACATGTTTATTTTTCCAGTAGGCAGGTTAAATTTGTAAATGGGCCATGTAGGTCCACGTTTTCATATAGCCCCATATAACGGTACCTCCCGATATTCGGTATTTTGATGATTTTAGACACATTATTTAACGGAATTGTTTCATATTTGGTATTTGAAGTTCGAAATGGGTACTACAGCCTAAGACAGAAAATTGTCTGAGCAGGTCCACGTCTTCGTACAGCCCCCCTATAGCGGTACCTCCATATATTCGATATTTTGATGATTTTAGCGACAATATTAACTGGAATTGTTTCAAATTTGCTATTTGAAGTTCGTAGTGGATACTACAGCCTATGACAGAAAATTGTCTGTGCAGGTCCACGTCTTCGTATAGCCCCTATATAACGGTACCTCCCAATTTTCGGTATTTTGATGATTTTAGCGTCATTATTCACCAGAATTGTTTCAAATTACGTATTTAGAGTTCGTAATGGGAACTACAGACTGTGACAGAAAATTGTCTTTACAGGTCCAGGTCTTCGTATAGGCTCCATACATCAGTACCTCCCGATATTCGGTATTTTGACGATTTTAGCTTCAATACCCACCGAAATTGTTTGAGTTGTCGTATTTGAATTTCATATTGGATGCTACAGCCTGTGACAGAAAATTGTCTATGCTGCTCCAGGCCTTCGCACAGTTCCGATATAACGGTACCTCCCTATATACCATATTTTGATGATTTTAGCTTCGCCGTTTATTTCAAGTTTCGAATTTAAATATGGTAATGGTTTATGACAAACAATGCCTATGTAGGTCCACGTCGTATAGACCCCAATATAAAGGCTATATTCGGTATTTTTAAAATTTTAACAGAATTTTTGAAGGATTCTATTTTTTGAAAATGTCCAATTTTTTTCCAAATGGTGGAGGGTATTCAAAGTTCGGCCCGGTCGAACTTACTGCTTTTTAACTTGTTATGTTTCATTATGCCTTCTATCTATTCTATTTCTTCTTTATTATTACAATGTATAAAAATCTAGTATCCATTTCAATATTTAGTATTCCAAAGTCATTTAGAACAAAATTAAAATAATACTCTTGAGAATATTAGGCCATAGACGAGTAGGGTATTTATGATGGCACAGAATAGATTAAATAAATTACCTTTGCCACCTTTCTGACCTTTTAGAGGTTTGTCCTTGATAAAGCCTGGGTTGTCCCAGTTTATTGACCAGCTTCTGTATGTCTAAGCATATGTTTGTGTGTCCAACTAGATTTTATTGGCTTCACGTGTCGGCAATTGTTGGAGAATGTGAGGGTTGGCCTTGTTAGAGTTGAGATTAGGCTAGTTTTTAGTCGAGATTGGCCTATTTTTTAAGCCGAGTTGGTCCAGTTTATTGACCCGCTTCTGTATGTCTAAGCATATGTTTGTGTGTCCATCCAGACTTTATTGCTTACACGCGCCGTCATTTGTTGGTAAGTGTGAAGAAAAAAAAAAAAACTTTTTCGTTTTGGTCTGTAATGGTCTCCCTCTCTCTCTTGCCCCCACCCCTTCTCCCTATTCAGCACCGTCTTCCACTATCCCCCTTCTTTCTAATCAGTGCCGAATTCCACTGTCCCCCATCTCCCTATTCAGTGCCGCCTTCCAATGTCCCCCCTCCCCCCCCCCCCCTTCTTTGCACCGTCCTCCAACTCCCTATTCAGAATCGTTCTCCACTATCCCCCTCCCCCCACCCCCTCTTCTACATACTTTCCTATCTTCCCATTGCTTTATACCGGCCCCTCTTCCATAGCATTGAAACAATCTCCCTGCTCCACAGAGCACTCTTCTTCATTAGACAATGATGCTCTTATCAGTACAAATTATGTTAGAATTGTGTGTCGATCTGTCGAGATGTAAGTCCGACCACTTACATGCTGTGACGAAATTGGTGATAGAAGTAAATTGTAACAGAAACATTGTTTTTATTTTGTTATTCGTTTGGGCGCATTATTGAATATTGACATGTTTTGTCAGTATTTGTATGGGACAAACTTGTTTTAATTAGTCATAAGTTTTTTCTTTGAATTCAAAGTTTTGAAAACTAGGAAAGAAAAAAATGTATTTAGTTCTATAGACTATTTGACGCCCTATATGTTTAATAAATATTGTATGTATGTGTGTGTGTGTATATCAACACACGATGATTTTGGCTATGTAAGGTTTTAATATGAATAGAGATTCATAAGACATGCAATGTGATGCGTTTAGATCCATGAGCACCAATGAATTTTTTTTTTTTTTTTACAATATATCGCTCTGAAAGCAAAAAATAAATTTCAGTTCTAAATAACTATTTGATTCAAAAACATCAATTGTTTTAAAGACAATTTTTTATATAAAAATGGCACCACATACATGTGATATTTGCGGATTGGTTTTTTATATTAAACGTGAATATGTGAGACACGCAAAAAATCATTGTAATGTTTGCAAATTATATTTTAAAAACCCATACCAGCTAAAATTTCACCAAAAAAATCATGGTTATGTTCCTGGTGATCATATGTCTAGAACAAGTTATTTTACGTCACCTGATTTCAGTAATCAGCCAACATCTTTACCCAACGCTATAATGCAGCAAATCAACAATAAAAATAAAATTGAGAGCAGTTACTGCAAGGAGTGTGATGTAGCGGTTCAAAACATCGCTATACATTCACGTAGCGAAGGACATCGACGCGTTGTTCGTCAATTGCTAGAGGACAACATAAAAATCGTGAAAAGTGCATACAATAATAATATTATTACATACGAGTATGAAAACTCTAAAAACATTTTGCTGCCAAACGAACTTTTGATAGATGCGAAAGAACGCCTTGTTACTCTAATAAATACGAATTTACACAAAAAGACAACAATTAAGTTCAATATTGAGCTTCAAGGAGAATACATTAAGCCTACAAATGAACAAGATGGTCCATCAACATCAAAGGATGCTGCTGTAAGCACTAAAGTGTTTACTCATATGTCCAAGATGACCTTGCTAACTTTGGCGGATGATGTAAATGAAGTCTTCCTTAACCATGCTGACCATATTCTTAACAATATGTCAGAATTTCAGGAGAGAGATTCTGGCTGGGCTTTACAGAAAATTCTTAAAATTGATGTTAACATTAATAAAGCCAGTTTGACTCGCGGTTCCCAGTATATTGAAACACCATTTTCATTAGCAAAAAAGAAAGCCTGTTTGAACATTAGAAATAATGATGAATTCTGTTTTAAATGGTGTGTGGTGTCCGCACTCGGTGAACCAGCAAATGGAAACCGAATCTATACATCATCCTACAACATTGATATAAGACAGGAAGTCTTGTATCTCCAAACGGGGATAGTTGTGGATTTTAGAGGATTGACATTCCCGTTGCCACTTAAAAGCATAATAATAACATCAGTGTTAACGTGTTTGGCTACGAAAATGGGGAAGTTGTTGGTCCTTACTACCTTACCAAAAAGAATAAGCATCATCATATCAACTTGTTGTTATTACATAATGGAGAACAATTTCATTACATACATATTTTAGATATGTCACGGTAATATAAAAGCACGATAATACAAAACATGTTTTGGTTAACTTATTTATTATTTTTCATTTAAGGTTATTGAGAAACCAGCTAACAAAACATATGAATGCAACTCATATTTGTGATGGATGCCTACAACATTTTACCACACATAAAATCCTTGAAGGACACAAGAAGGAATGCGGAGGTGTTGTGACAATTTTACCCGAAAAGGACAACAGCACATTGAAATTTAAAAATTTTCATAAAAAGGAGAGAGTGCCCTTTGTTGTATATGCTGATGCAGAAAGTATTTTGGAGGACGTTAGTTGGGGTACCATTAACGGGAAAAAAACGGTAACGGTAAAAAAACATATACCATGTGCATTTAGTTATAGTATACATTGTAGTTTAGATAATAATTTAAATAAGTTCAAATCTTTTAGTGGTCCCAATGCAGCCAATGACTTCTTAGAAAATCTTATTAAAGATTCTAAATATATTTATAATAATTATTTAACGAAGACTAGACCAATGAATCGTTTGACACCCTTAGAATTAGAGGACTTTGATAGCAGTAGACTATGTCACATATGTGAAAAAGAGTTAGGAAATGATAGAGTTAAAGACCATTGCCATTTAACAGGTAAATATCGAGGGGCTGCACACAATAGTTGCAATTTAGAATATCGTGTTGCCCGTTTTGTCCCAATTCTTTTTCATAATTTCTCATCATACGACTGTCATCTTTTCATCAAAGAGTTAGTCAGATTTGGAGGTGATATCAGCGTTATTCCTCTAAATAAAGAAAAATACGTGTCCATGTCATATTTTGTTAAAACGAAAGAGTTCGCAAGCACTTTAGATGACAATTCTATTCATTCTGAAAAAAGAGAGAAAAATGCACCTAACCTAGAATTAAGATTCTTAGACAGTTTTAGGTTTATGTCAGCAAGTTTGGATAGTTTAGCGAAAAATCTTCCGCCCTCTGAATTTAAGGCAGTGAGAACACAATTTCCAAATGATGCCGACTTTAACCTTATGACTAGAAAGGGTGTTTTTCCGTATGAATATATATCTTCTTTCAACAAATTATTAGAAAATCAATTGCCCTCCAGAGAAGAATTTCATAATAAGTTGACAGATAGTGAGTGTTCATTAGAGGACTATGAACATGCATTGCGTGTTTGGAACCACTTTAATTGTCAGACTCTTAAAGATTATTTAGAATTGTATCTAAAAACAGATGTTTTGCTTTTGGCTGACATATTCGAAAATTTCCGTGATCTATGCATACGAGTTCATAAACTTGATCCATGCCAATATATAACAGCTCCTTCACTGTCTTGGGATGCCATGCTGCTTTGTACTGGGGTTGAACTTGAGCTTTTTACAGACATTAATATGTATAATTTTTGTAAAAATGGTATTAGAGGAGGGCTAACTCAATGTTCAACTAGACACTCTGTCGCCAATAACCCTAGTATGTCAAATTATGATCAGAGTAAACCTGACGTTAATATTTACTACTTAGATGTTAATAATTTGTATGGAATGGCTATGACTCAATATCTCCCAATAAAGGATTTTAAGTGGGTAGAAGAGGAAGAACTGGAAAAGTTTAATGACATTAATAAAATATTATCAATTCCGGATGATTCTCCAACTGGTTTCATTTTCGATGTAGAAATCGAATATCCAGCCAATCTTCATGATATACATAATGATTTACCCTTTTGCCCTGAAAACAAATGTATTGGGGGATCCAAGACCAAAAAACTAATTGCAGATTTTTCAGACAAAAAGTCTTACACCATTCATTATAGAGTTTTAAAGCAGTGTTTGAAACATAACTTAATACTTAAAAAAGTAAATAGATGTTTATCATTCACTCAATCTAATTGGCTGGAAAAATATATTATGAAAAATAATAATCTTCGAGCCAAAGCTACAAATGCTTTTGAAAAAGATTTATACAAATTATTCAATAATTCAGTTTACGGAAAAACAATGGAAAATGTTGACAAAAGGAAAATTGTTCAGATTAGAACTCATTGGGAGTCACATGGAAAACGATTGGGTGCTAGAGATTTTATTTCAAAACCAAATTTCCATAGTTTATCACAATTTTCGGAAGATATGGTGGCGATTGAAATGAATAAGGTCAAAGTAAAGTATGATAAACCCATTTATTTAGGATTCTGCGTTTTAGAGATATCCAAATGGGTGATGTATGATTTCCTATACGACTTTTTAAAAGTAAAGTTTGGAAATGATTTCATACTGAACTATATGGATACCGATTCGTTTATATTAACATTTTTTGGTCGAGACCTTTATCGAGAACTAACACTAGACGACATAAAGGCACGATTCGATACATCTGATTTCTCTCCATCTAACGTTTATAAACTACCGCTTCTTAATAAAAAGGTTATAGGTATGATGAAAGATGAGAACGCAGGTAAAACTATGACTGAGTTTGTCGGTCTTCGACCAAAAATGTATGCCATTAAAGTGAGTGATAGCGAAGAAGTAAAAAAATCTAAGGGTGTCAAAAAATGTGTATTAAAGAAATATACAATTGATACGTACAGAGATTGTCTGTATAATAAACAAAATTATTTTAATAGCATGTACACATTTAGATCAAGGAAACATGATGTATATACAGATAGGATAACCAAAGTTTGTCTTAGTTTTCAAGATGACAAACGGTTTATTAGGGAAGATGGTATACATACGTATGCTTGGGGACACTACAGGATTAACGAGGACTTTACAGATCTAAGCAATTTACATTCAACAATCCCAATGGATGTAGATTTGGACCTCAATGAATTACAAAATTCAAACTTAGGTACAATAGATGAGGTTTTAGACTTTGCTAGTAACAATGGGAATACATCTCCCATGAATGTAGAAAATATATTACCAAATTTTGGCGCATTAAACTCATTAGACTTAGCACATATACCACTATTAGATTTGAATTTAAATATTAATGATATACATAACATAGAATTACCTTCGCCAATAGAAGAACAATCTATTTTTAATATGCTAAATTAAAACATACGTTTGTATTTTTTTTTTTTTAATTTACTTTATTAAATAAAGAACAATACATTTTTATTTTTGTATGCTTACAACTAAAATATAATAAAATGTGTTTTATTTCCTGGAGGGGAGGGATGGGCTTACATAACTTTTCGCACATTGCCTGTCAATGGTATGTACTCCACCATACGATCGTGAATAATAAGACAATACGATGAAGTATTTTGTGGAATTTGTGTATTTGTTTCAAATTCGATCTTTAAATCAATTGGACCATTTTTTACTGTTTCATTTTGACTGCTTATGTCAATAACAGCAACTGAATTGTCTTTAAAACTAGAATAGGTTAGAAGCGGTTGTGGTTCCCTCATATAATATGTCTGTTGAAACTTGCTATACATATCATAAAGTATTGCATAACGATTCTCAGAGAATTTTAGATTTAAATCATCATAGGGATAAGTCTCCGAATTCAAATGAACTTTAATGTTTTGAAGATCACAATGAAGAAACTTGTTGTCCTTTTCGAATACTAAAGCGACATATCGTGGTCTCTCATGATTTGTTGACAATTTGACATTCCATGTATGTTTCCTTCCACCAACAAATGTTGGATTAAAATAGCAATCCCAACTTCGAAATGCTATAGGTAGCATCTTTCCATCTTTAATAGTTTTCAAGAAACTAATTTTTCTATAGTCAGACAAATGAATGTGTTGAACTTTCCACGTAATGTTTGTGATTGTTAGACGAATATCTTCTTTTGAGTCAGTTGAATAACACACATTTGTGTCATTAGCACTCCGCAAGAGAATCAAATCATGTTTGCTGTTACAAATTACTTTGTTGAAGTCTTCCGCAAATCCAAGCAATCGATTTAATGGTACACAAAAGTTAAAAGAGTTAGTAGTAAACTCAGCACCTACATTCCATCCCGCATTACTCATAACATTACTTTCTGATGCATTCAGGGAAAGCAAATTTTTAATTTTTGTTGCCATGCCAAGATAGCGTGTGCGATCAATCTCAACACCATTTAGTTCATATCGAATTTCATCAAACATATAACCCACACAATTATTCCTAAGTCTTGAATTTGGGGAAATTTCCCCATTTGCTTTTCTCAAATAACCTTCAATGTACAAAAAGCTTTCCGACGGTAATATGTAAAGATCTTGATTTTGTATGCTTATGCGTATTTCATCATTATTTTTAAAAGATTGAATATATGGGACATAGCTATGATAATCGCGTTTTACAATATTCTCATCGGAAAAAGGCCGATCATTTATATTAAGTATTTCAGACATTGGGTTTTACTTTTAAGTAATTTTAAAAATTCTTTATTTTCTTTGGTTAGAAAAGGTCTTGTCGGTTTGACAACTTGATGTTGAATGTTTTTAGAGGATTGTTTATTATTATATTTATTGTAGATAATCATGTTTGTCTTGGTCTTATATGAATTCTAAGTGTAATTTCTTCTCCTCGAAAGTTTATTAATCGCCCTTCTTGATCTAGTATTATTATTTCAAGACGAGTAATTTCCTTGACGTTCACCGGCAAATAAATAAGGTTCAACGGCCTCTCATCTATTTTATAGCCTGGTGGAACATCTAGAGAAAATTCATGCAGAATATGTGCAGGTGAATTATTCATAAATGACCCCGTTACAATATTACATTGTATTTGTATAGCATTCACCTTCATAATATTAACAGGAAGGGTTGAGATATGCTTCTTTCCCGGATCTAAAATTGTTTCCGTGAAACCAAATAGCTTAGATATAGATTTTTCCTTGTTGAAATAAATAGCATCATGAGAAGATGTAATTTCTACTTGTAATGTATTATTATTAGCTTTAATGTCAATAGATTTGTTTATATGAATAGCTCTGTACTCTGATTCCAAAAAGTCTGCTATATCTTGTAATTCATAGGATCCAATTGGTATTTTTATAATATCATCCCCGATATGAAATAAATTATTATCATCATCCACATTAGGAATTGAGTTATATGATTGGAAATCAATTAAAGCACACTCATATTCAACATCACCTAATGATATAGGTGGTGAATAATTCGAGCATAAACTTGAATTTCTCCCCGTCAAAGTAAATGTTCTTGACATTGCAAGATTCTAATTTGTAGTAAGTAAAAAACAATATGGACTTGAATTTTTATACTTTTTATTTCCAATAAAAAAAAAAAAAAGAAAATATTTTACAATACGTCATTCTTATTTATCCATGAATTATGTTGATTTGAAAATCCTAACCATTTTACAAAAACTTTTGTGCCCTTTGTTTTTAGAATTTTCTCGACTAAATATATATTCGGATGTTTTGTAGGTAAAAGTTCTTCTCTGTAGAAACAGCTAGCAAGTATGTTGTAGGGTTTGTTATTCTTATGGTTTTTATTTTAAATATTTCAGTTGTCCAGTTCGGTGTGTAACCCTTTTCAAACTGATGTTTATATTTGCTGATGCGAACATGATCACCAACATGCAGCTGCGATTTTCTAAATATTTTTAAATGATTATAAACAGTTTTAAGCAGTGACTTCTCATTTGAGGAATTAACTTGTATTGGTGCCATTTTTATAGTTCTATGAGGTGTTCTATTATATTTATTTAACAAGTCTTTATAGAGTTTAATCCAATGATAATTTCCATTATAACTAAACTCTTTCCACATCATTCCTTTTAGGGTTCTATTGAAACGTTCAACTATTGATGCTTTCAATACACTGTATGTGGAATAATGATTTATTCTATATTTATGCATGAGTTCCTTAAATGTTTTATTAAAAAATTCTTTCCCATCATCGGTTTGTAAATTCTTAGGAATTCGTCCGGCTTTCAATATTTTTTCAAATGCTGTACAAACTTCTAAGGCATTTTTAGTTTTAAGCGCTTCAGCCCATGCATATTTTGAAAAGGTATCTATAACTGTTAGCATAAACTTGTATCCCTTGTTTGCTTTAGAATAGTTGCCCATTTCAACTAAATCAGCTTGCCATAGGTCGTCAATCCCCTTTATAATAACCCTCCGCCTCTTAAATTTTTTTCTTGCCTGAGTGTGGAGTTCATTCACTAATCCCCGTTTTTCCATTTTATTCAGTGTAATATTTTACAGTGGAGTGAGTAAATGTGTTTTTCGATAAAATACCATAGAGGTCGTTAAGCGAGTGTTTCAAACGCGATATTTCTTCTCTTATATCGGAACACTCTTGAAATATGTTTTTCTTTAATATTTCTTGTAGGTTCTTGTTTTGCGTATGTACGTATGCTTGGTTGACCGCATCTGATCCTCCCGCCGGGGGCGCCAGGTTTTTAATTCTCTTATTTTGTATGTCCAGATTCTTATCTTCATCAATATTGATTCCCAGCACTCTCGAAACATTCCCCTTTAGTGTGGCTGAAGTATATTTTAGATGATAATGATGACCAAACTTATCCACTGTCATTGATTTTGTAATTCAGGTGATTAATATATAATATTTCCCTCTCTTAGTTCTTCAATAATAGAAACAATCTCATTTGTATGATTATTGTTTCCGGCTTGTTGTGATGCCAGCAACAGCTTTAATCGTTCTATCAATTCATTGGGATCATCCCAGTATATATAGTTGGGTTTATCTAGATGTACTCTCATTAGACCTTTACCACTGTGAGTATCCTCCATCAAGTGTTTAATAATATGTTTATATTTATATCCTCTGTTGGATTTGATTCGTTCATTATGTCTATAATTTACTTTATGAGCATTGGAGTCTAGCAAAATTTTTTTATATATTTCTAATTCTGAGGCATCATAATTTTTAGGGTTTTGATAAAAGAGAAGTTCAAATAGTCCTGGTGTAAATGCCCAATGTTGATTACCAACAATTATTTTCTGATCATCAACTCTTAATGGTTTATCCCCAAATCTCCATTCACCATGAATATCTTTGTGCGGTCCATATACTGTATCCAATTTTTTATTTTTATTCAAAAGGGAAAGATTAACGGTATCATCAACATCAGAATAGAATGTATCATCTATTGAATTGTTAGCAAGTGTATCCTCAGTCTCCGGTTCTGGCTTAATATCATGTTTAAATTTCTTAACCGGTGTACTCATAGCAAAAGAATTCTTATATGACTCAATACCACCTTTCTTAGGTACTAGGAAATTGGAGGCATTTTCATTCGACAATTTTAATAGTTTATGAATTGGCTCTGTTATGGGTTTGAAAGTATTTTTCAATTCGTTTGTTTTATCTTCCTCCCCCCTTTTAATGCTTTGTAATTTTCTTTTCAATGCCTTTCTGGATCTTACAAGACGTTTCAACATTTCTTCTTCCATGGTTGTGTTTGTACTAATAGAAGTAGTTACAAAAGAAGTGACTTAAATATATCTATGGTTGTATAAATATATGAAACCCCTTTCTATATCTTCCAGAGTTAATATCATCATCTTTGCTGATTGTTAGAAATCCATATTTTTCCTTCCAACATTCATGACATATTTCTTTAAATTTCTCAAAACTCATATCACTTCCAACGTGATCATTGTATATATGTTTTAAATTTAAATTATCTTGCTTGAACAATATAATCATATTTGCATTATCACGCAATAAATGTTTTGGAATCCGCGTATATGTTTGACATAAATAAAATGAATCAACATTCTTATGACGACCCATACTGAAGTAGATTTTAATATTATTTTGTTTATCACAAGCCACATCATCGAATATCATTACAGAGTTATGTCTTACTTCTTCTGGTTGCACGACATCCTCGTTATTACTGAATGTAAACAACCGCAAACCTTTGATAGAGGAAATAAGTTTCTTGAGATATTCATATTTCGGTTGATACAGAGATTTGGAATAAATATAAACATTTTCGAATTTAAGTCCATTTGGGCTTTCGATCAAACTTATCATTACGTTAGTTTTTCCACAATTCGAAGGGCCAACTATTATACATCGTATACTATTCGGTAATAAAATGCTATGTCTAGGGGACTTCTTTTGTATGAAATCCACGTTTCCAACTGGAAGTTTAGCTTGTTGTTCAACTAACCTCATTTCACAACTAATGAATGATTTTATTGGCAATGCTTATTTATCTTATTCTCTTGTTTACAGTGAGCATAAAAATAGTATAAAATGATTGTTTATAACAACATCAATGTTAATCGAAAGAAGCACGTTAAAGGAAGAGGACTTGTAAACAAATTAATCGATTCTTTACCAGTGGAACTTCATCTACCTGGCTATCAATTTTGTGGCCCTGGAACTAAGCTTAGAAAACGATTGGAGAGAGGGGATAAAGGTGTTAATCCCTTGGATGCAGCTTGTAAAGAACACGATATCGCCTATTCACAAAACGAAAATATTAAGCAACGACACGTTGCAGATCGTAAACTAGCTGAAAAATCGTGGGAACGAGTAAAAGCAAAAGATAGCAGTATTGGGGAAAAAATTAATGCATATCTCGTCACTAATATAATGAAAGCAAAATCCAAGCTTGGCATGGGTTTGAAAAATAAAAAACCCAAACATGTTACTGGTCAACAGATTTTTAATAATGCTCTCAAAAATGCAACAATTAAACTTAAAAGTAGCAAACCAACCGAAATTGATGACGCCATAAAGATAGCAAGAAAAGAGATTCAAAAAACATTCCGTGGAAGAAAATCAAAGGTTGTTATACCTCGAGTTATTAAGCTTCCAAAAACAGGCGGATTTCTCCCCCTTATACCCATTCTAACAGGTTTAGGAGCTTTGGGCGCTTTAGCGTCGGGTAGCTCAGCAATTGCTAATGCTGTTATGAATGCCAAAAAAGCTAAACAACAATTGGAAGAACAAACCAGACATAATAGAACTATAGAAGCTATAGCAATGGGAAAAGGGCTATATTTAAAACCATACAAAAAAGGCTATGGTATATTTATGAACGACAATTCAAAAAACTAATAAAGCAACTCCCTAAAGGCCCACTTACTGATAAACAAATATATACATTTGGAAAAAAATATATACCAGATTTTAGAGGTGTTTATATGCGTGATACATTACCTAAAATACCATATAAAAAAGAATGTGGAATAATAAATTTAGATAGTGAGAGGGGGGCTGGTACGCACTGGGTTGCATATTACAAGAATAAGAATAGAATTGAATATTATGATAGTTTCGGAAATCTCCAACCTCCCCTAGAAGTATTACACTACTTGGGGCCGAATATCACTTATAATTATAAAAGGGATCAACAGTTCAACACATATAATTGTGGTCATCTCTGTTTAAAATTCTTGATGGGATTAGAGCAATAAATATGAAATTCAAACCGCAAAATTCACTAGTTCAATTTAACACTTCCACCAAGATGCATTCAATTGATCGATCGGATATTGCTATTGTGGACTTCCAATTTTGTCATGGAAACCACAAGTGTATATTTATGAAGGAGCTTGCGTTTATGTGTGGTATTTCTGTAGTTCCAAATCATTTTGTGTTTCGTCCACCTTTTAATATAAAAGAACTTACGGACGAGGCATGTAGAACAAATGTATACTGCAAGAACTATGTAAACGGATTAGATTGGAAGGATGGAGATGTTGACTACAACGACGTTGAGAGCGTACTTGCACCATTAAACGAATACAAATATATTTTTGTTGTTGGAAGAGATAAAAAAAGATTTTTAGAGAAATATATTAATACAAATATTGTAAATTTAGAAGATAAAATTAAACTAAGAACATGTCGAAATTATTTTACTAACTGTTCTATACATTCAGAATTTGGATTTAAATGCGCCATAAATAATGTATTTAAAATATTTGTATTTATAGAACAAAATTGGAATAAGAATTTAGACATAATATATGACGAAATAAAATAATAAAATTTAATGAAACAAAAATATAAGTTTATTTTTTAAAAATTTTATTAATGGAATAAAATGTAATGAATGTAGAGAATATAAAGAAAATCGATGAAAGGGGTTTTTCTGTTGTACTGCCACAAACATCTGAACCTAATTCAGGAATTAATAGATCTAAAATGTTTGGCTCAATCGGGATATTTCTTGTGAAAGATCTTCTCATCAAGGGACAATTGTATGACAAACGAAAATGCTCCTCAATTGGACAGTCAGTGTGTTTCCACCGATAGATGTCCACTTTGCAAAAATAACACCTAGTTATGTCTTCTACTCCAGTATAAAAAAGCCCTGTTGCTGCCATTGTTTTGGGATTTGGATATTTTAATGGCCAACTTTTGAACGTTTTCAAACGTTCTATTTCTCTATTAAGATGAACCCACATCTTTCCTTCTATAGCTTTAATCACAGACTGCGAAATATAAAATGACAATCAGTAGCCAATACATCAGAAAAAAATATTTATTGAATATACATATTCATTCTTTATTCCACAATTCTTTCAAAATATATGTTTTCTATTTATATTTTATTATATTAAGTCACAAAAACCATGGATCATTCTCATCTAAATCTCGCAAGGATTGTCCTTCGGTTAAATACGAATATTCCTTTTCATTAGCTCCACTTCCCATAGGTGGTTGATACATAAGAGATTCCTCGTCCTTTAAGACATTCATAACATAGTATCTCTCCAGTTCTGATGCCTTCATCATCAGATATCTTTCAATTTCTTGATCATTCCATTCAGCATCCTTTTCAAAAGTGTTACCAGTATGTCTTTCTGTGTCCATATTGTTTGCTTTCGGCTGTAACTTTTAGATTGAATGATTTTCCACAACTGGTTCTCTATTTTATACTCCGACAAGACAAAAATGTAATTTTTAGTGACTAAAATTTCCCATAAAAAAAAAAACACACACAAAAATTGATTTTCTTTTTTAAATATTCATTTATTAATGTTTAGTAGGGTGTATAGAAAAATGGTTTATTTTTTCTTAATTCCAATTTGTAGCCTGTATTTTCATCTTCGTCTCGCAATGGTAATCTTACTATGGAATAGATGCCACTCCCCAACTCTTTCACATCTCCTTCGCCCAGCGATAGAAACCTCGATGGCAAGTAAAGTATAGCATCATCTAATTTAAGAACAATCCTTTCTCCATATTTAGTTTGCGTCCTGTATGCTCCACAGATTATATACTCCTCGTTCTCATTCATTTCCTTCACCCTCATAATTTTTTTAAAGCTGAAGGAGTTGAATACATTTATTAAATTGGAATTGGACATATTCACGTTAAGTTTGTTTTCATACTATTTGTTGAACACATATTTTTTCACTATTTATACGAAATTATATTCAAGAAAGTAGAGGTTTACCCTCTCCCCCTCATCTCCCTTAATTTATACCCCAATATAAAATGAAGACAGGTTTTTTGTTTGTTTTTGATTCAATATTGCTTAATTTTATTTTTTATGATATTTAACAAAAAAATCTTTTAGTTCTTTATTTTCTATGCTATTTTCTAAATTCTTTACCATTTTAACTAACTGTAAATAATTATTATCTATGCATTCTTCAATTGCATTGCATAGGGGCACGAAAGCATCTCCTAAATATTCATCAGAAATTATAACAGGATTCTCGGGAAGATTATTTCGTATCGCCTCCACTTCATCCTCGGTGTCCGATAAAGTCGTTGATTCGGTGTCTTCGCTTGAACAGTCATCAGAATTCAGCTCTACGTCATCATTTTCCTCCCTTCTTGCTGCAATATCGTCCTGTAGAATGTAGGAAACGTGCTCGCAAAACGCGGCTTCGTCCTCCACATCTTCCATGAGAATGGGATGCACTCCTTCATACTTTAAATTTTGTCCTTCCATTTTTGTTTTTTAATTTTTGAGAGTTCTTTAGAAACTGAATGCATTTTCCAAATTTTTTCTGCTTTTATATATTTAACATTCAGCCAAATATAATTGATAATGAAAGTGCATTCTTATATAATCAATGATATTTTCTGGGTCTGCTAACATAAAATAGATTATGTTATTATGGAAAGTTTGTAAACTTCATGATGACTTTCTCAACTCTTACAACGATATCACCATTACAAACCCATACGCCTAGAAATGCATCTAAATTATGACAACACTTCAAACTACACATCTTATGAATCTATACTCATATTAAAATATTACATAACCAAAAGAATCAATACCCGCACACAGACATACACACATTATTTATTAAACATATAGGGCGTCAAATAGTCTATAGAACTAAATACATTTTTCTTTCCTAGTTTTCGTTATCTTGAAAGAAAAAACTGATGACTAATTAAAACAAGTTTGTCTTAAATTCTATGCCCACTTTTTAATCTGAAAAATAATTATTCATACAAATTCAAAGCATGCCTTCAACTTCTAGGCTGACAAAACATGTCAATATTCAATAATGCATCTGAAATATGACCAAAACGAAAAACAAAATAAAAACAATGTTTCTGTTACAATTTACTTCTATCACCAATTTCGTCACAGCATGTAAGTGGTCGGACTTACATCTCGACAGATCGACACACAATTCTAACATAATTTGTACTGATAAGAGCATCATTGTCTAATGAAGAAGAGTGCTCTGTGGAACAGGGAGATTGTTTCAATGCTATGGAAGAGGGGCCGGTATAAAGCAATGGGAAGATAGGAAAGTATGTGGAAGAGGGGGTGGGGGGAGGGGGATAGTGGAGAACGATTCTGAATAGGGAGTTGGAGGACGGTGCAAAGAAGGGGGGGAGGGGGGACATTGGAAGGCGGCACTGAATAGGGAGATGGGGGACAGTGGAATTCGGCACTGATTAGAAAGAAGGGGGATAGTGGAAGACGGTGCTGAATAGGGAGAAGGGGTGGGGGCAAGAGGGAGACCATTACAGACCAAAACGAAAAAGTTTTTTTTTTTTTTTTTTTCTTCACACTTACCAACAAATGACGGCGCGTGTAAGCAATAAAGTCTGGATGGACACACAAACATATGCTTAGACATACAGAAGCGGGTCAATAAACTGGACCAACTCGGCTTAAAAAATAGGCCAATCTCGACTAAAAACTAGCCTAATCTCAACTCTAACAAGGCCAACCCTCACATTCTCCAACAATTGCCGACACGTGAAGCCAATAAAATCTAGTTGGACACACAAACATATGCTTAGACATACAGAAGCTGGTCAATAAACTGGGACAACCCAGGCTTTATCAAGGACAAACCTCTAAAAGGTCAGAAAGGTGGCAAAGGTAATTTATTTAATCTATTCTGTGCCATCATAAATACCCTACTTAGACGACATTGTATGACTTTGTTAACTTCCCATAATTTGCGTGAAATCATTTGGCCGAATAGGAGCAGGCGGAATGCATACAATAGCTTTTAGAAGAATATTATGTTTATTTGGTAAGTTTTGAATAAAATGGAGATTTTTTTCAATTTTATATTTATTAAAGCCTAATATTCCGAGTATTAATCTGATTTAATGATTTTTTCACAGTTCTTTATGGAATTGCATTTAAAGTTATTTTACTTGAAGGTAGGCTATAAAAGTCGATAAAAAACGACTCATATTGTGATTCAGAAATCTGTTTCAATTATTTCAATTTATTGTTAATACTGAACACTGAAATTATTTCGCATACATTTTTTTCACACAGCTGATATTGGCAAACGCGTCTGTGTTGGAAAATATACCATACCATTCGATGGCAAAGAAGTGCATGAGCAATTCTACACACCACTCGACTGCCAAAATTGTAATGAAAGTGCCGATTTTATGACACTGGCCAATAACGGGGAACAATTGTTGATCCATTTGGGCTATAACGATGAGACGAAGATTCCAAAATTACGACGTGGACCGCTGGAGGGCAAAGGTCATTTTCGTTTTCAGTTTATGTATTTTAATTTTCGCCCACACATGCCCGAGGAATGGGGTCTGAATAATGTTAGCTTTCCCGCTGAATTACATTTGGTTTTCTACAGTGACAAATTTAGCGATTACGAGAAAGCTTTGGAGAAGGACAATGGCATAGCAGTGGCCTCCATGGCCTTTCGGGTAGGTTGGGCAAAGGGTGTACATATAAAAGCTGAAACCCCTAAAAAATTATAACCTTTTTAGGTAAGAACCCAATCGACCAGTCCATTTTTAGGTCGGATCATTGAGGACATGGTGGATGTGCGTGGTATAGATACAAATACCACAGTGCCGCTAAAAACAAAACTAACCCTATCCACATTCATGCCCCAATCATATAAATACTATTACACATATGTGGGCACAATGCTTTCGACCAGATCGCCAACGTTGACGACTTGTCAATCGAATGTTATATGGATTGATTTTGACGAGGCCCATAAAATTCATCCAGATGATGTGAGTTATTCTTTTTTTCCAGATTCACATAAAATGGAATTCTTTTTCTTTCTTTTTTGCTTTCACAGATCAGGGAGTTTGAATTGCTACGTAGCTTTCTTAAATTTTCAATTACTAAATTCACCTTAAATTACAAGAGTCCAGAGACAAAAATAATGGTACCTCTGAAACCAAAAACTACAACGGCACCGGCCGCATTTTCGGATTTGAAACGGGTTGTGAGCGCAGTACCCAATGGCCAGAAGAAAGAGTCTCTAATCGAAGCAATGCTATTGATATGCCTTGCAATCATCCTGGAAAGGTATTACAAGTTTTAATTAATACACAACACCTTGGTCCCCAAAAAAAAAATCCTTAATCCACATTTAAGGTTCATATGATACTTGAAAAAAAAAAAATTTCTTCTATATCCTAGATTACACTGTGTAACAAAAAAAAGAATTACAGTTAAAATCCAGCAGATTATGAAAGTAGAGAAAAAAAATAGAAAATACGTGTATCGGCGTTCTGAAATCTTGCACCGCAAAGTACTCAAAAAATTTTTTATTTTAAATTTTATTGAAATAAAGCAAAAAATGTCGGAAATATCGTCAAATTATAAAATAAGTTTAGATTTGTCTGAATTGGTCACCCTTGGCACGAATTATGACTTTCAAACGGCCAATGAAACCGTCACATTCTGAAGCGAGGAACCTCATTTTGTAACCATTCATGGGTAGCGCGTACTGAGTGCGATGATGCTGAGTCCTGTTGGGATATCCAAGGTCTGCGGCCAAAATGTTTGCGTACTTAAGGCTTTAATACACCCTCCAGAATATTTTCGTGATAATATTCGCCATTTATTCTGATGCCACGGTCGATTGATACGAGCGGAGAGCGGCCATCGGCAGTTATGGCGGCCTACACCATCACCATGGCCGGAATATTGTTAGCCGGAAAAATTTTTGCATCGGAAATATTGTTAGTCGGAAAGTCGTTCTGCAAGGAACAACATAAAAATAATTTTTTTAATTAAATAGGATTTTTTATAAATCGAGTATAACACGTAAAAATGTACATACAGGGTGAGATAAAAAAAACTGCAACAAAGTCAAACGCCATAATTTTTACATTTTTCTTAAATTCTATTGACTAAAAGCAAAAAATGTCGGAAATAGCATCAAATTTTAGAATAAATTTAGATTTGTTCGAATTGGTCACCTTTGGCACGAATTGTGGCCTTCAAACTGCCAATAAAACCGTCACACGCTGCCGAATGTTGCTCTGTGGTATTTTTTCCCATTCTCGGCGAAGCGCTTGCTTAAGGTGATCGACACTTTGGTATTGGTATACTCCAGACACAATAGTCCAACGAATTGATATCCGGAGATTTTGGTGGCCATTGTGCGCTGGAAATGAATCGATTTTATTATTTTGTTTGTTTATAAACTGCTGGACAAGGAATGTTTCTCATCAGCGAAAACCAAATTCGGCAGTTCACCACTTTCGGCAAAGCGAAGCAACGGAAATGAGCGATGGTACGAGGCACAAAAGATTTATTCACATTTAAATGCTGGACTGCTCTAACGATAGCCACTTGTGATTTTGCAGCCAAATATGAAGAAGCCACACTATCACGCTCGAATTCCATCACGAATAACTATTTTTCTGGAAAATTCTCACCAAAATGCTTTTGTACGTTTGTAAACAATATAATGAGCTGTTACTGGAATAATTTTAACAGCTGCCGGACGAGTGGCTTAGAAATGATAGTAGTCTGAAATTGGTTGCAGTTTTTTATCGCACCCTGTAGGGTATAAATACGAAAATATTTCTTTATTTATTTTCCACGGCCTTTTTATACCGTACACCACATAGTGGTAGGGGTATTATATTTTTGTGCATTTGTTTGTAACATGGAAACGAGATAGACCCATAGTTCCTTTTGGTGATCAGCATAGAATAACATTTTGAGTCGATTTATTCATGTCCGTCCGTATGTCCGCCCTTTGTCCATGTTTTTTTTAACAATATGCAGGTCGCATTTATTATTCGATTGATATGAAATTTTTCACAAATCATTTGTTTGGCCCAAGGACGAACCTTATTGAAATTGGAGATAATCGGTTAAAATTTAGATATAGCTCCCACATATATCTTCGTCCGATTTGCCTTTTTTGTCCACCAAACGTGTAATATCAGCCCAAATAGTATGGAATTTTGCACATACTATTAAATTAGGCCTGAAAAAAAGTAGGACAAATTTGACCGAAATCGGTTCAGATGTAGCTAAAGCTCTGAGCCGTTATATGCACTCCGTAACAACGATATTCAGGGACATACATCAAATACAGCTCAGAAACATCTATGCCAAGTTTTTTCGAGATAGGTTCAGATTTGGATATAGCTCCTATATATATCTTTATCCGATTTCAAGTTAATTGTGCACCAAATGGGCAATACAAGCCCCAATTGAAAAGATACAAATTTTTCGCAAATTTAGTCCTTTGAACTTAAATTATAATTATAATTATAGCTTGTATGATATAATTATCCCACAAAAACGTTTAATTGTTATGGGAAGCTCTACTAAGTATGCAAAGTGGTGCAGGGTATAATAAAGTCGGTCCCGCCCGACTTTAAAACTTTCTTTATGGTTTCGAGTTGATAACAACAACTACAAGAGAGTTTGAAAATTTCCAAAAGAGTGGAAATTTACCCCCTCTATATTGGTTACTTTGCGATGTGAACGCCGATAAGCATGTCTTCTAATTTTTCATAATCAGTGGTATTTTCCAAAATAAATTATTACCCGTTGAAAAAATATTCCTAACACATATTTTTGGTCCTTCTTAAAAAATCCCTTTAATCTTAATATTTTGCACGAGGATCAGTCTTAATTTGTAGGCTTGTGATAAGCCTGTGTTTTTGGGGAATACTATAATATTAATAAAAGGATATGTGAGCTATTAAAAAAATCCTGATTAGTAGTCGAAAAAGTATTTTTAAGAATCGACTATTATTGCCAAAGAGAAAATTCAAAATTTATATTAAATTGTATACAAGAGCATTTAACATTATGATAAAATACCATCCGGAAACGTCAAAATGTGAGCCTACATCTTTTATGTCATTCGAAACAAGGCCTTTATATACAATACTCGTTGGCGTAGTATACCGTGTAACATGTGGAAATTGTTTCCAACCGAGAAAATTTTGTACTTTTTGATATTCAAAGACCTAAAATATGAAATTATTTTTACAAGAAATTTTTTTGTGGCTTAACATTTTTTCTCACATCGCCAGGATGAATGTTTAATGCCTCATCCACATCAATCCATATAACTTTGGCTTTACATGTTGAAACCCAGGGTCGGTCATGTAATGTCATCGTACCCATATAGGTGTGAAAATAATCAAGTGTCCTTGGTAGAAAATTGTAAAGCCTAATTGGTTCTGTCATGGGTATGGTGATATTACTGTCAAAGTAAATAACCTCCGATAGGACTTCTCTGTTAATAGACGACATGAACATGACAGACGCTATTCTTACCTGGGATATAAAATACACAATTTTATAAATTGAAAAAATAGAATAGAATTCCTATTTTACTTACATGAAATATCATCGACAGTATGGCAATGCCTTCATCCACATTTACAGCGGCCTCAAAGTTCCCGTACTTCATATTGAAGAATGTGATATGTAGCTCAGCGGGAAATTTCACATCGTTCCAGGCCCACTCGTTGGGTGTACTATACAGCCAATTGAAATGAATTCCATGAAAACGATATATTCCCTTGTCCCGCAATGGCCCATTGCTTAGTGTGGGTATCTTACGAGCATCGCCATAGGTTATATTAAATACCAGATGTACTCCATTATTTACGAGCACCATACTCTCTATGGGTTCATTGCAATTTTCACAGAGCAGCGGTGCGAATGTTTTATTCTCAAATTTGACTTCCATTTTATCGTATGGTATGTCATGTTTTCCAACACATACTACTCGACCAGCGGTTATGGCAGCTAATTCAAAAAATTTTGAGTTAAAAAAAAATATTTTTTTTGTTCTTCGAAACTTACCCCTGACACCAGTATTACAAAGTATTTGAGAAGATGCTGTAAAATAGAAATAATATTTTTTGTTGGATTTTGTAAGATTTAGAGGCCTTCGTTCCAATGGAGGCCTTATAACATTAAGGTGCACCTCATAACATTATACCCTACACCACATAGTGGTAAGGGTATTATGTCTTGGTGCATTTGTTTGTAAAATGGAGAAGGAAGCGAGATAGACCCATAGTTACTTTTGAGGATCTTCATAGAATCACTTTCTGAGTCGATTTATGCATGTCAGTCCGTCCGTCTGCCCATGTATTTGTGTGAACAAAATGCAGGTCGCATTTATTATCCGATTGGGATGAAATTTTCCAAACAAGATTTGTTTGGCCCAAGGACGAACCCTATTGAAATTGGTGAGAATCGGTTCAAATTTAGATATAACTCCCATATATATCTTCAACCGATTTAGGGTTAATTGTGCACCAAATGGCCAACATCAGTCCAAATTACCTGCATTTTGGCACATTCGATCAAATTTAGTCTAGAAGCAACTACATCAAATTCGGTTCAGATATAGCTATAACACCCATATATATGTTTCATCCGATTTGGGGTTTTAAGTCCCTCGCATGCGTAATATGCACTCCACAGCAATGATATTTAGTACCAGATAACTTATGCAGCTCAAAAATACCTCTGATAAATTTTATCGAGATGGCATCAGATTTGGATATGGCTCCAATATATATATCTTTATCCGATATAGAGTTTATTGTTGACTGATTCACCAATAGCATCAAATATTAGAATAAGTTTAGATTTGTTCGAATTGGTCTCCTTTGACACGAATTATGGCCTTCAAACGGCCAATAAAACAGTCACACGCTGCCCGAATGTTGCTCTGCGGTATTTTGGCCCGTTCCCGCTGAAGCGCTTGCTTGAGGTAATCGACACTTTGGTATTTTTTGAAAGTGCCAACCATGCTTTCCCAACTACTCCAGACACAATAGTCCAACGGATTGGTATCCGGAGATTTTTTGGCCATTGTGCGCTGGAAATGAAGCGAGGAACATAATTTAGTAACCATTATTAGGTACCGCTGCTGAGTGCATGCTGAGTGCGATGGTGCAGAGTTCTGTTGGAATGTCCAAGGTCTGCAGCCAAAATGTTTGCATGCCCTAGGTTTTATTACACCCTCCAGATTATTTTCGCTACAATATTCGGCATTTATTTTGATGCCACGGTCGATTAATACGAGCGGAGAGCGACCAT